TTGTGTCTTCCTTTTTCTTCGCATTCACCATTTTTCTTCGCCGTTTACTGTTGGCGAGGAAACTGGTTGGATATTAATAAAACGATTCGCACGGAATCGACTCGACCTACTTTTCTTTTCACGTGTACTACGCGTCCACACCGAGTGAAAAATTCATCGAGAGGTCGGCCCCGATTACGATCGAGAAATAGATCATTAGGTAAATTGCATTTAAGAGAAAGCGCAGCATGGGTCGTGGAGTATTTTCCTGCGAGATAGAAAAGGAGAACGTTTAACCCCAGGTGGGGTGAATTTACGCGACAAGTCATCGGCCATGACGACTGGGACGTTTGTCGCGTGACGTCTTTTCGTACGCTGCGCTAACACGTTTAGCAAGCCAGCTGCTGGCCTGGTACTCGCTGTCAATTGAATCTCGGAATTGTCGTCAAAGGGCTTGTTACGGAGTTTCGGCGTGGCGACAAACGTGCATACTCGCGCTCTTGCTCGAATTGATCGACGAGCTGCTGCTGGTCACTGGCAGCTTCAGGCTAACGTGTTCCTACACCTTTCGAGACATTACCTTTGCGCTAATTAATCCACTTGCTGTTTTCTCATAGTTACAGGTTTGTTAAGCTCAAACATCGGATGAGCGAGTATTTCTGTTTCAAACTCGACCGATGAAAATTGAACTTTAGCTTTGAATTCAATCTGTATCTATATATACATGTTATCTATCAATCAGAGGGAATTTCGAGGGTATTTCCCGCTTAGCTTTCGACCTTTCCGCTACTGTAATACGAATGGAATTTTTCATCCTCCCGTATGGGAAGCAACAATTTACGATTTAATTTAATCGTACTGTATATAGCGGAATATCTCTACCGGAGATCGAGGAAAGGAACGCGTGGGAGGTATTCGCTGGAACATCGATATCGTAGTTGGCCGTTTATTCTCTTAACGAGAGGCTGCTATGTAAATGGAAAATTCTACTTGGTTGTTTTTATCCTTTATAAGCTTGAAAGGAAATTAGTCGGGGAAGTAAGAATTTCTTATTCCATAATACTGTATCGCGATACTCCACACCCTGGAGACACTTTCATTTCGACCAGGAATTGGAGAAGATTAAAAGTATAGTTGGTAGAAGTAAGCAGTTGGAGAAACTTCGGACAGTCGTTAGCCACGAGTTGCAAGAACTGTTGTGATACGCTCAGATTAAGGGGATAAGATGTAAATCTTTAGAAAACACTGTTTATCATTTTGCTCGGTGGGTTTGTGAAGAACGAAGATTAAGAATACAGTTGGATTAGAACAGTCTCATCGTACTTCCAAACTTAAATCAAGTTTCCTTATATCTGTTTCGTATTCTTATAAATTCTTCTTCTCTTCCATTTCTTTTTCCACTGACTCGTCAGTATTATCAACTATTACTATCATTGTCTTTATTATATTCGACGAGCAATGATGTTTAACGCAACACGTGACCACGCCGCCCTCTCTTTTTCCATTTTCTTCCGTTCCTATCTCGGTAACGCGCGACCTCGTGTGTCACCAAATTTTAGAAGGCCGAACAGGTGGACAGGAATGGCGAACGACCATGTCGCGTATAGCAGAATGGTGAAAAAAGGAGGACAACGTATGTATACGCTCGAGGTCGAAATATCAGATTCTGCCGGGACTTGGCGGGATTTTCCCGTTCCTGGTCTATAGCGTCCACCAGCGAAGCAGAACAAACAGTGGCGAAGGCGTCGCCTTTGTAATCGAGGTTATTCCGCCCGATAAATCGAAATACGCGGTGGATCCCACCGGCGGACGATCAATTTCACGGATTATCAACATCCCCGCAAAAGTGAGCAGGTATCAGGCAAAAGTGAGCAGGAACGAGTACACATATTGAACGATGCATCTTATATCCCACGATAATAATTAGCTTCGTTGAAGCAATTAAAACGATGAAGAAACATTTAAACACGCTAGAATACCCAGCCGTCGTGCAGCGTGTGACGCGGCAATTTTTATGATAGATCGCTGTTATCTGTATGTAATACATTATGCAGAATGCACAGGTCACGTATTAATACGTGTTACATGTGTACAAGGGCAGTCGTGCGTTGTATTATGTAAAACTGATAAAAATGTAGATACGTCGCGGTACCGCCTTTCACTACCAAAGGGTTGGACTATTTTTTCTCGCTAGTACTCGCTAACCCTTCTCTTACTATATATACAATTTCTAACCAGAGTCTAACTGTATCTTGCATCCTGCATCACAAGGCACAGTTCTCCCAGGTTTGCTTCACCGACGAATCGTATCTTTCTTTCTGTTTTCCACCTATCATTTCTCTATTTATTTCCAATTTCCATAACCAATTGCTATAGATATTAACCCCCTTAATGACTAGTCAAGCGCGTGTATCGATGAAATTAATGTATTCAAGTTTAATTAAAAACATTGATTAGATGCACATATCGTAATGATTCTCGTTAATATTCAATCGAATCGACGCGAACGGAAAGCAAACTAAAAGCATGCTGAACATGCCGATGCGTTGTTGTTGCAGTATCAGAAAGAGCGTGTATCTAGTATCCGGGGAGTCCAAGGTAGCAGCAACGTTACGCCGAACTTGCTTTATAGCCTATTGTTAAGGTATTGTTTCAGGCTTTGGCCTGTTTGCACGAAGACGACAGGAATCTCTATAGTCCGGTTTAATTATTCTAGCTTCTGCAACAACGCTAACGACGAGAGATAGTAGTCGCCCTAGCTCGTGTGCTCGTTAAAACGGCGAGAGAGAAGAAAAGGTTAGCCTTGTTCGAATCTCGGCTCTTTCTCCCTATAAATAACCGTATCACGATGGATGATGACAGAAAGATACGTGGATCTATCGCGTTCTCCATCATCAACGATGAAACGTACGCAGCATCGTTTCATTCGCTAGGGGGATAATTAACGAGAGTGTACGTGACTTGGATTTCGTTCTGGTTGCGCGCGAAATTATTCGCGATCAGCCTGTGGAATATGAGCGTTCCTTCGCGTCTAACTAGAGAGACGGTGTAGTTAGAGCTAGATCGGTGGTATTACTGCGTATGAGGAGTGTGCGTTACACTTGTATATCGTAAGCACAGTTGCGTGGAAATATCGTTCGGCTCGTTTATCATGGTCCCCTCGTTGCATGTTGCTGCGTGTATCCGCACAACGGTATGTGCAAACTCGCATTCTGCGCCTGTGCCTCGTTATACGACGCGGAGTAATACATACATGGTGGTGTACAACCGAGCCAGCTCTCAGCCGGCGACCAAATCGCATTATCTTACAACGTGTTGTTGCACACCGCTCCTCCTGCACCGATAACTTATTTCTGGGTTCTCAACTATGCTTCGAGAAATTTCTCTCGATTATAACGTGGACGAAATTGAAAGGAGCTGAATTGCGGTGATTAGTCGGTGGAGGAAATATAACGTGGGTATTAGAAGTGAGTTTTGTGAGTGATAAGAGGAGTGGAAGAATGTTTGAATAGAGTGCTTGAGATTAGGGGGCGAAAAGGTATGGGATGGCCACCCCAAGGTTTTGGGTGGAAGTGACCGAATGTGTCGTGGGAATGACTGTGTTGTTTGTCTGAATTGAACGAGAGGGGTGGTGAAATAGAGAAAGAAAGAACGAAGAGAGTGGAAGATATGAGCACGAGTGAGTTATTAGCTGGAGCCGTAGGATTTTAAGATTTAAATTCGAATAGTGTGAATTTGATCGACAGTATTTGAATCTCGAATAGTTTGATTTTGATTGGCTCAAGTGAAACCTCGAATACTTTGAATTACATTGACTGAATTCAAATTTAAAAATTTGAAAGCAAACGTTTCAGCCACTTATCTTCTCAGGTTTCTCTCCACTCGCTTGTTGATACGCTTCAATGTGTAAACCTCGATCGAATCTTACTACCTCGCTCGATTCCTTCCACCGACTACACGAAATAATCATCTCGATGTACTGTAAGAACGTATTAGTGTGCCTGTACCCTTGCTACCGTGGCGTGTATCCGGTTAACTTTTTTCTCCCATCACGAGAACGTCGTTAATGACGAGCGTTGCAGTTGTTTCGAGTTCTCTGCGCAAAAATGCATCAAAGGCAGAAGAGAGAGAGTGAGTGTGTTACTTTTATGCAAAACGTACGCGGGAAGTCGAAATTCTGGCGCGAAGAAACGTAAGATAGTCGGCGGAGTGGTGTACAGATGGGAAAAAATGCCGGAGTCGCTCGTACGTGAATACTTCTACCGGAAGTAGGCAGCCAGACAGAGCGTAACGTGGGCAGCCATAACGGGAGAACTGTGTTCGCGAAGTGGCGCCTTGGTAAACGCGTGTTTATCGTCACGCTGTTTTCGACGTCGTATTATTTCTACAACTGCGAATTGCATTTCTTCGAGAAAAACCATTAAGAAGTTA